AGATCTTCTAGTTGCCACAATTTCAGTAGAGATGTCGGACAGTTCCGACATCTCCTCTCAGTCCAGTGTCCCGGTGGAACTGGCAAAGTCTTGCCCTTGTTCTGCCGGAGTAGATTCACTCACCAGCCTTCTGTTTCCTCTCCCCTTCGGTCCATGTATTTCCTGGTCCTCATCCATGGCCTGGTCCGGATGGATCTCCACTTCTAGCATTGATTTTCGCTCTTCTGAAGACTTTTGACTCCTGGGCTCAACCATTCTGCCTGAAACCGTCTCTCCATTGTCGGTCCGGGTTCATATGATCCTTTCCACAAACGGGTCGGTCATTGCTTTTCTCTGATACTCAGGTATGAATTTCTTTGAGCTAACACTCAGTTTAGGTATCCTTGACTTGTCTAGACTCATTTTTAATTCATGACTTCTTACTGCCTATACACTCAATTCGATTGCTAGTATCCTTTTAGTCTAACTACTTACAACAATAAAACAACACAATAATTTTCAAACGTTTCTATTAACTAGTGACCACAAATCCTCGTATGTTATCGCAGTACAGCGTGTATACAACTCATTCACAATGATCAGCATGATGATATCAGTCTATTTAAAAGATAGTGATCTCACTAACCAATCAAGCACAAATATTATTGATTTAAAACCAAAATTGACAAAAGTAAGAATATTTTCTATGAAAAACGTATGTGTTTTGTACTTTTAAAGAAAGAGCTTTCCCTGTTTAGTGCTGCACCAAACAGACAAAACTTGGAGGCAGTAATTTTCTCAAATGGGCGTCTATTGCACCCACCGAGTCCTGTGTTACCTATCTGCCTTCGGACTGCCCGAGCTTGACCTACTAAAATCCTCAGGGCAATCACTTTTCTCGAAACGTTTTGGATTTCAATCCAGACCAATGACTTATACACTCTTGTTCAATTTAGACTTAGTGTCGCGAATATCCGAGTTTAGATCTGTTTTGTTTTGGTTTGGTTTTTTTTTATAAAAGGCAAGTTACCAGTGCAGTCACTGGTTCCCAGGCTATCTCTTAATAACCTAATACCTTCAACAACTTTTGTTTTCTGTTGTCTTCTTAAGTCTTGACTAAACAATAACCCTCCGGATTGACAAAATATGACCCCTCCGGATTAGTAAAAACAGGACCCTCCGGATTGGCAAAAACAAGACATTTCCGGATTGGCAAAATTGTGACCCCTCCGGATTGGCAAAGACAAGACTCCTCCGGATTGGCGAAAAAAGACCCTTCGGGATTGGCAAAATTGGGACCCCTCCGGATTGGCAAAAACAAAACCCTTCCGGATTGGCAAAATTGGGACCTCTCCGGATCGGCAAAAATAAGACCCCTTCGGATTGGGATAAATAAGACCCCTCCGGTTTGGGACCCCTCCGGATTTGTAAAATTAGCTTCTCGGAGACCTTCTAAATTTCCACCCGATACCCTTCCGGATACGTTCTCTGATGCTTTTATGCTGTTTGAGTTAACTAGGAAGGGTGTTTGGTCTTTCCCAAGACCCTTCCGGATTGAAGTTAAGCCTCTTATTTGACAATTCACCCTAACGGTGAAGGGTCTTATCGGTAGCCTAGTTTCGACTTGACTAAGGTTTTCTGGTGCCCATAGCCTTCCCTTTTTGTCTAAAACAACTAAAAATGCCTTATTCAACCGTTACTACCCTTTGGTAGTGGCGTAAAGGCTTTCCAAAAAAAATTTATAAAACGTGTAGGGTCTACCTTCCCGAATTGGTGAATATGCTAAAAACAATCCTAAAAACTTTTCACGCTTTTTTTTGAATAATTGATGTTTTTATTAGTAAGCTCAACTACTTTCTGATCTAATGGTACCATGATCCACTTGACTTGTCCAGTAGTTACAAAATTATCAACCAAAACGTCTTTTTTTCCAAAGTCAAAAAATTTCTCTTTTATAGGTTCCGCCTAACTTTTTTTCGCAATTCTGTTCTTTTCGACCTAAAAAATGTTAATCCGATCTCAGAAGGCCTATACTCTCCTAGTTCAAAATAAGAAACCCGATCTAAAACGCTCTAGGTGAACAAATTTGCCAAAAACTATGCTATTTCGACCCCTCCGGATTGATGAATCCACTAAATCAAACACGTTAAGTTCGATTTCTCTGTAACCCGGAATGTTATCGGCAAACGGGTTTCTAAACCTGTCGATTCACTAGTGAACGTTGTCTTAACAGCAATTTTTATTGTCCTAACTCAAAAATTTCAAAACAATTTCTTATTTTATAGCGTTTCGTTTATTCAAACATCACGAAAGTTCGGTTTTTGGTACCCAAATTGTTCCAACCACTTCTGAACTACACTCAACCGGTTCTACTTATTATAATAGTACATTTACGATGTAATTCACTAATTTAGCGCTTTTTTCCGTTTAACAAAATATCGATTTCTCAAAAATCGCGATTTGTGGGGGGATCAAAATTTCGCTATTTTGACCCTAAAAATCGGTCCTTTTACTGTGTTTTTCACTGAAAAACGAGATAGGAGTATTAATATAGGCTGTATCAATAATAACATTAGTAATACTATACCCCTCCGGGTTTGTTCCTTTTCCGAATTAAGGTGCTTAACTCGGAATTTTGCAGTTCGGTGAAGGGTCACTACAGTGCAGCACTGTCGAGCCCCCCACAGAATAATATCTTACTTTTTGTACCAAAAGGGATACAAAACTTGTTAACGATACCCAACAATCGATTGTTGTTGTCGTTGCGCCCCTTCTTGTCGCTCCTTGAACTGCTTGCCGGATCAGTCTTCTTCACTAATCCCGAGACCCTTCCGGATTGAGCGCAAATTAGCAATAAAGTGCTTAAATACTCAAATAACCCTACAGTACAAGCCTCAGAAACGGGCCACAAAATTGATCGCAACGATCCTGACTGATGTAAATACTTGTAACAACAATATATCTAAATAAACAACAAACGGGAGGGTCGGATCACATCTCGTCTGGGGGGATGATTTCCACATTTTTTTTTCTTTTTTTTTTTTTACTTTTTTTTGTTTTTTTTTTCGATTATTTTTTATGTTTTTTGTTTTTCTTGGGTACTATACTTTTTTATGTTTGGTTTTTTGTATATCTTTAAGTGTTTTTGGTCACACACCTCTCAGGGAACGTGGGGATGGCCGATCCCCCCCCCCCCCCCCCTCCACCCTTCCTGGAACGTGAATTTTTGGTGTTAAAGCTATTCACGGGAATCCGGAAGGCTTCCGCGTTCCGAACTACTCTTTGACCCCGGCGGTTAGGGCCTATTAAGGGCGTTTTTATGAGCTTCCGCTCGGCGCGAACTGCTCGTTAACGGTTCTGCCGTTCATGATTTTAAAAAAGAATAACACCCAGGAGCGCCACAAAAACAACTATGTAACGTTCGCCCGGAAGTACATATCGACGGAAAATAAAGCTAAGCTATAAAACGACTGGCCAGCGTCTAAGCAAAGCTCTACATGCTTTTCACCGTCTCTACCAAAGCCAGATCTTTTGTTGGGCTTTTCAACATCGGGTCGACAAAAACGTTACTGTTCTCCGACCTCGACCAGAACGCTCAAATTATCTTACTTACATGCAAAATTAGTGAGCTCATGGCTGGGTCTCAGTATCCCCAGACCACGAGGTCTTTCCTAAAATTAAGGCTACTACTAGTTATTACAAGACTATTGTTTTTGTTCAGTAGAAAAAAATCATTATCTCCATCGAAGATGAATCAACCCTTTCCCTCTACTCCTAGCTTCTCATTATTAGAAAATGAATCCAGATGTTAATTAAATTCAATTCAGGGCATGACTAGGAAGCTAAAATTCGTATAAATAGGTTTAAATTCAAGCCTCAAGACCCCTCCGGATTCCTGAATCCGGGGAAATAACACCCTTATTTCCTCTCCGGAAGGCTGAGTTCACGATTCCACCACCCTTCACCGTTGGCGTGAATGGCCTTGTAACGATTGTAGCGACACAATCGTTACAATTCGGAGCCGTCTTTGCTAACACTCTGTTGCATTTTCTATTTCCCGTCGTAGTTTCTCTCTCAACTATTGTTGTTGTTGTGTTCTCTTCTTGAATTTCTTATAAAATGGCCGTTTCCAACGTTTCTCGGAAGTGTGACGTCACAAATCGAAAATTTAAAATTTAGAACTTCCAGAATCTTCCGGCCTTCACGATTCGTCTAATCGTCTGAATAACACTGCTAATCCTTTAAAACTGCCAATTCTCTGGGTTAGCGGCTAACCATCCGAAACTGTCGTTTTGTCAATTCTGGTCGAATGTCACAAGAACGAAAAAAGTCGTCAAAAAGTTTCAGAATTTTTTTCTGCAGAATCTGATTCCCAAAATGGAGCTAAAAACTTTTGAAGCTTAGTTTTCACGGCTCAAGTAAAGCTTAATTAAGCTATTGTAAGCATGCGCGCTCACCTTACTAGCTCGAATTTAGACCAAAAAATCAAAAATTTCACTCCGGTTTTTCTCCCGGTTTTCACTCCGGTTTTTCAATTTTTTTTAATGTCGTTCGAATCAGGGTTGAAAGGGCTTTAATGTGATGGATGTCTCGACCCATTTTGATGACCATTTATTGCACTTGATTTTGCGTGAAAAAAATAGAAATAAATAACGCACCCGAACGCAAAGCTCCCCCACATTTTTCAAATGGTCGGAACAAAAATAAAGTTCAGATAGACATCAGAATGTGCATTAATAGAGAAGGGTAGATTTCAACTTATTGAAGTGCTGTAATGCTGTTTTGACTAGCTTCTTGAATCTTTGGAACAACTATTGATGATCTATGAAATGCTAGTATGGCTATCTAGCTTGCGCACTGATGGTCATAGAAACGGAAAGGCCTTTTTAGTTGACACTTTTTAACTTCATGTGTGACTTGAGCGAAGACTGTTACATGATGCAGTGGACTGTTTCTGAATCTAGGTATTTATTTATGCAGGTACCACACAACTTAACTTTTCTAGATTTTTAGTTTTTGAAATGGCTGTAGCTGGGACTTTGGCCGACATTTTCCGTCCACAAGCGGTCCTGGAAATTGATGAAAGATTTTTGCGTTTTACATCTGAAGAAGCTCAGATGGCACAAGATGCTCTTTTGGCTCAATCTCTCATGGCTGAGCAGAGACAGATCATCAAGCAGCCCCCCAGAAATACTTACAAACAGGTCACCATAATTAAAGTAGATCGAGCTGAGCTGGTGAAAAACTATGGTATGGTTAAAATGGATCCATATTGCAAAATTACCATTGAACAAAGCGTTTTTGAGACCCCCTCATGCTACAGCGCATCAACAAAACCAGTGTGGAACAGAATTATTCGTTGCCCAACTCAGTCAATAATTCGCAGCTTCTTGATTGAAGTTATGGATGAGAACCAATTTTACGCTGATAGCCGGATAGCCTTTTGCCATGTCGAGTTAACAGAAGAAATGATGCAGTCACAAGAATTCCACACTTTAACTCTTCCGCTGAGCGGAGAGCAAGGTGAAGGAAAAGAAGGCTTTCTGTTTGTTCAAGTAAAAGTTCAAGATGTAGAGAAACTTCAATCGGAAATCATGGCTCAAATGGAACTTGCTGCATCAGTGACTCATCCACCTGTTAGCTCGGAGTCAAGTAATAGTACGCCAGCGTCTGGGCCTGATACTGTAGACGATGAATCGGAAGTTCAATATGTTCCAACCTTAGATGAAATAAAACAGCTGGCTGAAATGTTTCCTACAATTGAGGAGCAGGTTATTCGAAGTGTTTTGGAAGCAACTGAGGGTGACATGATGAACAGTATTAATTCGATGCTTTCTCTTACAGCTCAGGATGATACAGCTACTGCACCACCGCAGGATACATCAACCAGAATTGCGAATGATGGAGCGGGAGAACCGCAGCCAGTTGATTTGTAAATGTAGTTAATTGAGTAAATATAAAGCCAATTCAACAGGCAATTTTTGAAATGTTTTTGTGAATGCATGTTTCATTCACTAACCCTCAAAACTCATCATTACCATATCAGAAAATATGTTTTGCATCTTGTTTTGCATGCTTAACTATGAAAATTTCCCCTTAATTAAAGAACGTACTGTGAACTTTTTTTTTTACAAATGACGAGTGTACTCAGATAAATGTTATGTCCTTGGGAAACTTCGAGTTTCTCACAAATTTTCATTTTTCTCACTTGAACTTGGGCGAAGTCCAATTTTGAACCTACCCATTTCATCACGCATCGGTGTAATCAATTCAAAATTTATCAAACAGGTACCTCCAGCTTTAGCTGGGTCCCTTATCTTTTATCATTATCAAGTCTTTTTCATCGCGTTTGTGTTGTACCCCATTTGGTGCGAAGTTCCGCTTCGCCTCTGTTTTTTTTTATAGGTAACTGTTGTCGATTGCCTAATTCATCAACTTTGTACGCGTATGTATAGTTTCTTATCACACCACGCACAAGAATTGAAATTTGAATATTTTAATAAATGGAAGAACTTTTTTTGTAATTTTTTTTTAATGAAAGTGGTTGGAGCATGTTATCGCGGAATTTTCAATGCTCAGTTTGGTGTTTTTTTGTTCCGACCACTGAACTCGTAGGGATTGGAAATTTTTTTCGTGTGTTTTTCTTTCAATTTTTTCTCACTCAAAATCAGGTAACACAAAGAAATGTCAGGAGTGATATCTATCTATTATATATTTAAATGCTGGCTTCACTATCTCGCCACGTTTAAGCTTTTTCAACGTAATATTTTCGCATGTTTAAGCTATATCGTATATTCCAATGGTTAAAATTTTTTCGATTTTCCAGTTTGAATTCAGTGGTTATTCCACCGAGTTTAAAATTAGCAGCCCAATAGTGGGATGCTGTCAGGATTCCCCAAAAGGTTGCGAATTTGGCCTCCATTTAAGAATGCTCAAATCCTTGCAGTGTAAGAGATACGACGATTCACGTGATTTTTTTTCAAAAATTTTCAGAAAACTCAAATTCCAACATAATTTACCAAACTTCCCCTAACCTTGTTTTTGGGTGCTGTCAGAGTACTCTCAAGGATTGCGAATCTTGCCTCCAAATATGACTGCTCAGATCCTTGTAGTTTCGACATATGACGTTTTGGAGATTTGACGGAAAATTGGAATTCAAAAAAGTTCATAAAATTTGAAATTACCAAATGTAACGGCTCAAATCCTTGTAGTTTTTGAGATATGACGTTTTTTGTGATTTTTTTAAAAAATTTTAAAAAATTAATTTTTTTTTTCAAAATTTGAAGTTTTATACCCTGTAGCAGGTGCTTTCAGGGTTTTTTCAGGGGTTGTGAATCTTGCCTCCAAATATTTTTTCAAATTTTTTTCTTCAAAATTCGAAATTCCCAACCCTGTATTTGGGGGATTTCAGAAGACTCTCAGGGGTTGCGAGCCTTGCCTCTAATTATGACAGCTCAAATCCTTGTAGTTTTCGAGATAGTACGTTTTTTTGTGATTTTTTCAAAAAAATTTCAAAAAAGTTTAATTAATTTTTCCAAATTTAAATTCCTTTCCCTGTAGTTGGATGCTGTCAGGATACTCTCAGGAGCTGCCAATCTTGTCATTAAATATGACTGCTCAAATCTTTGTAGTTTTCGAGATATGACGTTTTTTGTGATTTTTTTTCCAAAATTTTCAGAAAACTTAAATTATTGTTATTTTTTAAAAATCTGAAATTTTCAACCCTGTAGTTGGGTACTGTCAGAGTACTATCAAGGATTGCGAATCTTGCCTCCAAATATGACTGCTCAGATCCTTGTAGTTTTCGACATATGACGTTTTCGAGATTTGACGGAAAATTGGAATTCAAAAAAGTTCATAAAATTTGAAATTACCAACCCTGTAATTGGGTGCTGTCAGAGTACACTAAAAGCCTGCAGATCTGGTTTCCAATATATGCGCTTTTTCTTGAGTTGTCAAAAATTCGAAGCACCAGAGGTGTATAACACGCTAGTATTACTTTAAATCCCTTTCAATTGTGGTGTTACAAAATCTAGATAAATGTCTCACTGATCTTTTAGTCAGATTCAGTGCGAGTGAAGCAAAAAAATCTGTATTAGTTTTAAGAATTGAAGCTTCATTTAACGTTTTTGCATCACGAAATGTTTGATAAATACAAAAAACCCGAGACCAAATCTTTGAATGTTTGGGTAAGAAATTCTTTTTGCTGAGAAAACTAGCGTTTTCCTTATTGGTCATAGATTTGGCAAATATAACCGTAGTTGAATCAAACCTTAACCTATGTTTCTAAGATTGAAGTTTGTCATAATTCCTTCTCCTTTTACTCGCAAGAAAATTGGCGCAAATTTGAAAAGAAAAGAATTTTTTTATAAAAATTAATGCGGTCAGAAACTTTATTGAATCTGGTTCAAATTTGTACTTAAAATCTTTTTGTTCCGACTTTTGTTACGAAAGTAACGAAATATTTGTGCCCGAAGTTTTTATATCATTGAAAAGGTTTTGTTGTCTCTAAATTTGAAAAGATATTTTTACCTGTGATCATTTTTTGTAAAATTATGATGTTTAAAGTTTACCATTTTGGCCAATTTGGGACAAATAACGCACGATAAAACTCGCGCTATTAACGCGTCAGCGTAAATTTAATCCGTCTTAGAAAGTGATCATAATTGGTTATAGGACGCTTGTTTGCCATAATCGATTTTTTTTACTTGGAGCGAAATCTATCATTTTGAACTTTATATGGCGTGAGGGACGATTTTCTCAAAAAATCTCAAAAAAAGACTGTCAGAACATTAAGGGACTCGCACTGACACGAGCAGTCTTGTTGTTGTTGTATGTAAATGAACGTAAATAAGACTGTTATATAGGTCGTGATGATATTTTTTCGATTTTTTTTCGCTCTGTTCGTTTTTTTATAGGTAACTGTTGTCGATTGCCTAATTCACCAAATTTGTACGCGTATGTATACTTTCTCATCACACCACGAGCATGAAACGAAATTTGAATTTATTCAATAAATGGAAAAAAAAATTTTCTGTAGTTTATGAAAGTGGTCGGAACATTCTGTGCTTCGTGTGTAGCAACTGACTACCCATGTTGTTTTTCCATAATTTGTTCTTTTCCTAATAATTCCGGTGGCGTGATTTGAGATCTTACAAGTTTGCATAAACAATAAATCAGCCTCACCAGACCCATTTTAAACGCCGAAACAAAATATACACGCAAAATTGCCTACTTTTTGTCACATTATTTCGAAATTTTTCCAGGTCTCTGAAATGGTTATTTTTGTTCGAAAATTTCATGGAATTTTTCTTTGATAAAAAAGGTATTACAAAATTGTGAACGATTTGGTTTATTGTTACGGTTTATGGTTATTTGGACGCTCTGGTTTTTTTCTTTTTGTTACTGCTTTCCAAAAATGATACCAATGTAATGGCCGCCTTTTTACCGCACACTCACTCCACTTTCTACAGGCTTAGAAAAGTCTGTGGGGGAATGTTTGACCGATATTTTTCTCAAAAACTACCCTGCCAATGTAATGATATTGAGTTCAATCGAAAGAACGAGTTGTTAGAACCTCCTGCTAAAAAATTGTTTTAGAGGCGAGAAGAACTGGTTAGTTTAAAGTCTAATTAACTTTGGTCATTTGGGCTGAAAAAAACTTGATTTTACGAAACGAAATCTAGTCTTGGAAGCTTCATTTAGCGCTTCCTCTGCAACAAAAGTTTTCTAACAAAAGTTGAAAAATTTTTGGGCAAAAAACTCCGAAATTTGATTTTTTTGTTTTCTTTGTCGTGATTTTTATTTATGAAGACAACTTTTGTCTACTATACCTAATTAATTAATTTTCTACATGGTTGTATAGTCCTCGCATCACACCACACACAAAAAACGACAATTGTTTCAAAAAAATAAGACAAGTTCTTTCTTTGTAGTTTTTATGAACAGCAACTGACTATCATGCTTATTTTTTTTCAAATTAAATATTTATTCTGTTTTGTTGGCTGAGTGAACTTACTTCTATCGTTTGATTGGTAAATTTTTTTAGAATATAAATCAGGTTATTTGAAGTAATTTTTAAAACTTGACTGCTCTAAATTTTATTTCAACAGGTTCTCATAGCTTTATAGCGGCAAATACTAAAAGCTGATTTTTTTTTACATCGCAGCGGAATAAAAAGCTGCAATTCAATAAATTAATTTCATTTTTGTTGTCTAACTTTGAATAATGCGAATTTGAAAGTGGAAAACCTGTGTGGTATTGCATAAAAGAAAATGATTTGTCTTTCTTGCTTTCTGGAAAATCAGTCTGTGAAATGATCTTGTGTTTCCCTATCTCCTGGTATATTAAGCGCTGCTATGCTTGTGCTCAAATGTTTTAAAAATGCAAATCGGGAGTCAGATTATTAGAAATTTTGCATATATTATGTTACTGACTTTTGTGTTGAAATAATATTTCATGTTGAAATGTAAGTTGTTTTTCTTGTAAGTTCATTTGTTGAGCTCTAAATGGTCGTTTTTGTGAATTATTTTTTAGAGTCATGATATCTCTGTTTTGGATAGCTTGTCTGCTGATATTCAGTCATGTCTCAGCTATTCCGCTCCAGTTTGAGGTGGTATCTGCTGACCGGACTATCGATATATCAACCCATCTGACCAAAATCACTACGAAGATAGAACTAGAGAACATTGAATCTTCGGCCGCAAAAGAATTCTACTTGAGTACTGAACCACGTTTTGCCGACAAATTGTCGTTCTTAGGAGTGACGAATGATGGCTTAGATGGCGGAGAATTGGAAGTTTCGGAAGTGAAAGGAACCGAAAAGTCGACGCCTCTCTATCACAAGGTGATGTTGAAAAAAGGGGTTTCTGCAAAAGGGGATCGAGTGAAGGTTGTGGTGTATGAAGTGTTCCGAGGACTTCTTGTTCCGTTCCCAAAAGAGATCAAACAATCAGAACCTCAGTTGATAACGACTACTCAAAATTCTCGATTTTTCTCGCCCTACAAGTCGCGTGTTCAAAGTACCGTTTTCAAACTGTCGAGCTCGAAAATAATTTCTTACACCAAAATAGAACCTAACCATGGGGCGGACAAAGAAATCGAATACGGACCGTTTGAAAATGTTGCAGCGAACAGCGTTGTGGATGTTGTTGTGCATTCTGAGAACAACTCGCCATTCCTGACAATCACGGATTTGACTAGATGGGTTGAAGTATCTCACTGGGGTGGTAATATCGCAATTGAAGAAGCGATAAAGTTGCAACACTCAGGTGCCAAGCTGAAGGGATCTTTTTCCAGATTCGATTACATGTACATGCGATCTTACGATGGTGTACCCTCGGTTAAATCGTACAAGACCGTCCTACCAGCTGGAGCCAAGGATGTCTACTATAGGGATGAAATTGGAAACATCTCCACGAGCCATATGTTGGAGCTCCTGGATTCGGTTGAGCTAGAGATCAGACCCCGATACCCACTCTTCGGAGGATGGGAGACCCATTACTTATTGGGATACAACCTGCCAAGTTATCAGTACCTGTTTAGCCGAGGATCGAAATACATGCTGAAAATGAGGTTTGTGGACCACGTTTTCGATGACATGTCCGTTGACCACGCAGAGATCAAAATAGTTCTACCTGAAGGCGCTTCTGACATCCAGGTTAATGTTCCATACTCGCACTGCAGAAAAGCTGATGCTCTGCACTACACCTTCCTGGATATATCAGGACGGCCTATCGTGACACTCGCTAAGGATAATCTGGTCGAGGATCATATCCAGGATTTTGAACTGACCTACTCGTACAATTCGATCTTCTTGCTTAGAGAGCCACTGATGATCATAACTGGTTTGATGATAATCTTCCTGAGCGTCATTCTGTTTGTTCGAATGGACTTCTCAATCTCTATTGACAACATGGCAGAGGCGAAGATGAGAGTCGCGGGTGCGATTGAACAAGTGTTTGCTCTGGAGAACAAGCGTGAGGTGCTCTGCAACAAACTTGAAGATGCAGTAGCTTCGTTCCGAAAGACTAAAGATCAGGATCAACTGAACAATGTGCGAAAAAACGTTGAAGCAGAACTGAAGGAAGCCAAAAATGCGATTGACCAACTGGGCAAAAGTGTCAAGGAAGATTCGCCAGATGTAACTGAGCGAATAAATGAGATCCAAAGACACCACAACGTCTATTTTGGACATGTATCGGATGTGATGACCAATGCTATCAAAGTGGTCAACCAGTCAGTGACTCACGAGGCCTTCAAGAGAACCGAAGAGTCGCTTGAACAGAAGAAGGCAGAGGTCAGGGCTAAAATCAACAACACCTTGGCTAAGCTATAGAGCCACTTTTCAATTTTAGTTTCAAGAATTTGACTATTTAAATCAAGTAAAGGCACTTTCTCTTCCAGTTCTGTCGATTTGGATTTTCTTGTTACTTTCTTGCAGGTTAAATTCTTGTTACTAGTTTTTGTTAAGGTCGCTAGCGTCAGCGTCATATTCCATGAATATACACGACTATAGACTGCAACTATCCACTTTTTTCCCCCGAGCCTTTCTCGACTCCCTAGAAAACCTTGTCTTCTAAATCATAAACATGTTCTATAGCGGTGAAGTTTTGTTTTGAATTAAACGTTGCTCATGTGTGTGAAAAATGTATTTTGAATTCTTGTCGGTGATTTATTTGAGGATAACACTTATATAGTGTACAGTTTCTTGATATTATTTGAATATGCCGATGCAGATAAAAGGCCTATAAAAATGGTAATGGTAACTAAGTCTTTGTTTGGTGATCGTTTTTCAAGTATACAATAGAATTTACGAAGAGTTTTAAAAGAGAAGCCTGCAATCGATTTGCATAACGGTTTATATGTTGTTCTCATCATCTTTTTAGTACCAATTGAAGTTGAGGCTTAATATTGTAAAATATTATATTATTCGATTGGAATACTTGTTGCGATTTATGACATATATGTATTATGTTGTACTGGAATAAAAATATCTCATGATAATTTTATTGCACCACCGAAGTTTTGTGTTGTAGCATTCAGAAGTTAATCATCTCTAGAAGCCTTTCATTTCATTATTTAGTTTGTATAATTTTGTGTTTTTTTATGGCATCAGTGTAAGTGCAAATTTTTCAGCTTGTTTAGCGGGCACAAAAAAAATTTTTTTTTTCGTTACCCAGCGGATTTGAATTTTTTTGTTTTACTACATTGAGTTAGTTTTAGAAAAAAGTGTCAATCAGAAATGATTTGTCACAAAAAATGTCAATCTGAAATTTTGTAATGTTTTTGAATCATATTCAGCGACTGTTTTAATCCAGTTGATGTGGCGATAATGTACCTGACTTGGCCAATTTTCTGACTCGAATAAACCTAATAGCGTTTTACGTTATTTCGTCACGCACATTGATTGTTTTAATCCAAATAATCTATGGCGTCTTTTCCTAAATTTTCTTTTTTAGACTAAGCTGGTTTCAGAGCGTTATCAAGTGTTTTGCCAATCAAACATGTAGTCAATTTTTGACTTCAATTTTTTGGGCTTGTGTTCGGTTGAGTTTTTGCGTCCCTTTTTGGCTCATCTTTTTTGGCTCTATTTGATTGTTTGCTAGCCCACGTTGCTCGGGTTGGGCCGCCAGTCTCCATTTGAAGAGTTTAGCAGCATCCACCGGCCGAAGGTCCGTGGGAGCAGGATTGCAATGTTTAAAATAGAGCTTGCTTAAAACATGTTTTAAACACGTTTAAAACACTGTTTGAAACAATACGAATTTCAGCGTTTAAAACAACGACGCATGATTGGTCAATATTTGAACGCTTTCTGAGCGCGTCATACAATTGAGAATCATTGGAAAATCAATTAGAATCCGAAATTTTATTCTGGTCGAATGGTTCGTAGCAATATCAATGATTTGTAAGCCAAGTTATAGAACCGTATTAATAGCGCTGATATTCCGAGACCTCTCAGAGATTTGTCCCAATAAACATGAGTTACCTACAACAACTACACCCAGACTACAACTGATGTTTGATACTTTGAAACTTTAACTATTGATACTTTTCATGTTTTCATACTTGTATTATTGTCTTTTCAGAAGACTTGAATTTACCTTCTTCTTCTTCTTCTTCTTAATTAAGATCAAAGCTAATGATGATACGTGCAAATATGGCTACTGGTCGTAAAAGAGATGCAATTTGAAGCGAGTTTACTCAATCAACCTGAGTGGTTGGAATTCGCTGAGAAAAGGTATAATCGTTCTGTTCCGTATTCGTGGTTCACTGCCTATTTGTTATGCCCATTGTATTTCAAAGCGAAGCATCCGGAATGCAACAGTGAAGTCATTAACTTTATTGGAGAGAACTTACCGGTTCTAAAAAATGAGTTCCAAGAATACACAGACAAAAAAGGTAAATTTTTTGAACTATCAAATAGCAATGGGAAAGATTTGGAAGGAAATTGGAGAAATCGCTTTGAAGATGGAAAAACTGTCCCCCAGTTCAGCTGGTCTCGAAATAATGTTTTCGACAAAGGGCTATATCCAAGACTACCTCTGAAACCGTCTTGGCATGGAAACACTTGAAAAACTAACTTTCAGAAAACGTGTGCTGAGCAGCTAATTTTGTGAATTATGTGATTTTTTTTGTTTTAAACATGTTTAAAACGTTTTTTTTTGTCAGAATCATGTTTTTTTTGCAACCCTGCGTGGGAGTGAGTCAGAAGGATTTATTGAGAAATTTGAATAAGTGTTAAGTTATGAAGGATGCAAGTGAACAGGTTGGGTATACAGGGGAAATGGAGCTGTCTAGGCGAGACAAGTAGGTGTTTAAAAGGACTGGAGCTGGACGAGCGATTGGTTCAGGGTAAGGATTGCTCTGAAGGTTCGAGTTTTCTGAAGGGGATACAGATAGACTAGGGATTTAGACGAGAAGCATGGTTTCTTGCTTGTTGTGATTCAGTTAACATTGGTTTAAAGTAGTTGAAAACAAAAGTAGAGACTTGGTCTTGGTTGTTGAACGTAAACATATGTTTCATTCGGTCTATGGGTATAGCAGAAAATCAGGGATTTTGACTTAGTTTCCTCAGTTCGGGCTCTTTTTTCTCGGCTATTTTTTTTTTCACGAAGTGATTTTTTTCTCGGCTTTTTTCCCTGAAATTGCATTACAATTAAGATATTGCATTCTGAAAAAGGCTTTGCAGGTATTGAAAGGGAATTGATGACACGGGAGCAATTGAAATTTACTCAATTGAATTTGGTTTTGTATGCTTCTGCGTTTGCATTATATGGGGAGTCGGAGAGAATGAATGATTAGGAGGTTGATAACTTTATATATTAGTTACTGTAGGGGTGTAGTAGAAAGGGCTTTGGGAATAATCGGTTTGGGGTCATTGTAGATGATAACACTTTGAAATCTCTAAAAAAAACTGTACTTGCTTGATAACTGAAGTGTAACAATTTCTATGTTCCTTCTCTCGTGGCATTGAGGTAACGCGGTCGTTTTGCACAATAAGATGTCGGGTTCGAGTACCTACTGGAACTGGCTTTTGTCAGTATTTTTAAAATTAAAAATGTGTTTTTGGACAAAAACAAGGATAGCCGGTTACTGTGCAGGTAGCACAGAATGTTCCGGCCATACTCATGAAAAAACAAAAAGCCCTTTAATGTTTTTTTTTTTCAAATTAGTGTTGGTTTTTGTGCGTTGTGTGATAAAAGGATCTGAGAATAACATCAAATTTAGGCATATTCGATGGTCACAATCAAAAAAGCAAATCGGGCAACGGTTTTAGTCGGAAAATTACAAGAAAACGCCAAACAATTCAAATTTTTTTTGTTTCCTCTCATGTAGAGTTGTTTTTGCATTTCTTAAACTTTTTTTTGTTCTCAAGATAGCGCTAAAAACATTTGAAGTTAGTTTTACTAAAGTTTCATGGCACTAAAGTTTTTCCATAATGAGCCTGCTCGCTTGCTTAACTTGCTCAAAATTGAAGCAAAACTTAAAAATTTTGAGCGGGTGGTTCGAGTTTCTATTGTCGTTCGAGGTAAGGCTGAAAGAGCTTTGTTTTGATATTTTACTCCGCCCATTTCGATGTTTATTTGCGGAAACTTTTTTGGCTGAACAAATTTAGACCAAAACTTATTAAAAATTCAAACGAGTTTTTCAACACTGGGAAGATTTTTTATCAAAATTTTTAGATGTTGTTTGAATCAGGACGAAAGAGCCGTGACATGATATATCACTCGACTAGTTCCGATGACTTTTTGTAATATTTGACAAGCGTAGAAAACAATAAAATGCAACACACCCGAATACAATGTTCCTATTTTCAGTGAATTGTTTTTTCTTTCTTAAACTCATTTTGGGCGGGTTCTGCCCGTCTGTCTCCAGGCTAAGGAACTTCGCTACTTCTACTGCCCTCAACCACAGGTCTGCGGGAGTAAAAAGGGATTTCTGGGGCAGTTAAAAATATGGCAACTACTGTTGTATGACAATTGACAGTTAGGGCAAAGTGGGGGAAACTTGGTTGTCTAAGCGGGAGACGTAAGTGTTTAAAAACCGACTGTAATTAGACCGGAGTTGGAAAAGCTGACAGCGGGTGGTTCTGGGAAGGGACTGTTTAGAGCGTGCTATGCTTGAGGCGCAATACAAATGACTTTGAGGGAGGTTTTTCTGCTAGGAATTTTGTTACGAAATTTGTATGGTTTTGTTAAAGAAGGGACTTGTGGTGGTTCAAAAACAAAAGTGGAAACTTCTTCTGATTGTTTAAGAGTTAGTCACGGGTTTTGGTTGGTTAAAGGGGAGTCTGTTTCGTCTTTAAAAGTACTTAGTGTCGATTGTCGATCTTGACGTGAAAGTGAGGTGGGTTACAGTATTAAAAATGATTTGGGTGATGTGAACGGTATGGGGAGATTAAAAACTGAGAAGTTAGAAGGCAGTGATGGCTCGGAACGTTCAGGATTTCAACTTCAATGTGAAGAAGGTCAGTGCAGCTGTTAAGATTTGAGCCAGTGATAATACGGACGGCATGATTTTGGTGATACGAAGGTGATTAAGAGAACTTTTGCTGTCGGCGTGCGCCCAGGCCGGAGAGGCAAAATCTAAAATAGGACGAATTAAGGCTTCTTCAGTTAAAAGCAGGGTCCCATTAGACTTACCCTAAGAAGAACCTGCTAACGCCTTGTCAGCGTATCTGCTGTGAGCTGCAAAACCCAGGGTTGGTGCAAAAGTAACCGCTAAAGGTTTGATTTTCATTAGGATGGAGATTCGTTAACTTTAAAGTCAGTTAGATTTTTGCTGAAATCTTGGTTTTACGACGACAGCAAGGTAACTGATCTTGTAGAGGACGCGAATGCTAGCTTACGGGAGGTGAAAAATTGAAAATACGTTGCAGATAACCATTTAATGAGCACGATGCTGCCTCAACCTCGAGTTTTTTGGCGAAGGGGTGGAAATCGTCAGCATTCGTGGGGAGGCGAACTTTTTCGGGGTGGGGCGGAGGGGCGTCATGGACGTAGAAGTTGAAAAGAGCGGGTGATTAAATGAGCCCTGGTGAACACCACAGTTAACAATTCTGTGCCGGGAAACTTGTTTTTAAAAATAGTGGCTTGTCGTAAAAATTAGTGGCTTGTCTTACACATGAATATTTGCTAAGCCAGCGAATTTTAATTCCTGGCAGCGGTGTGTCATGAGTTCTCTAGTATTCTATGACGCACCATTTTAATTGCCTTTGAAATAATAAGGGTGGCGAGAACATTACGTAAGGAAGGGCGATTTTGGTTAAAGCCATCAGTAATAAAAAGTTCAAGGGTGGAGAGTGCGGTTGCGGTGGAGTGAAATGGGCGGAACCCGTCATGATTTGTTGCTTTAGAGAGATGTTTGTTGAAAAGGGTTGGATGATCCTATCTAAAATGTTGACAGCTAGGCTCAGTAGTGAAACAGGCCTGTACGATGTGTAAATTTTATGGTCTTTTTCAGGTTTGGGCACGGCGATAACTTTGAAGTTTTACACATTTGGGGATAATAATTTCAGACAGCAAAGGTTAAAGAAATAAGTCAAGTAATCAAGTGCTAGAGGTCCGAGGTTTTTGAGTTGGACATTCAAAG